CTGACGGCACCATTGGAACCCTTGAGAGAGTTCGACAACAGGCAGCCAACCATGGCGACAATGGTTTTAGTCTTGCCCGTACCCGGAGGGCCCTGTACCAAAGTAAACCCATCATTCTCCTTCGCATTCAAGATGGCCTTTGCTTGCCCAAGATTGAGTTGGTAGTTGTCCATCACCCCTTTGATAGCCTGATCGCCAAAGTTGAGCATCGGCGACGGCTCAGCCTTGAGAACCTCATCCATCAAGTCATAGTACTGCAAGCTTTCCAGAGCAGCATATTCGCGCTCGATTGTGGTCATGTTGGTGATCTTGACCACCGAGAACTCGCTACCCGGAACAAGGGCCTGATGGATTGGATTTCCCCTACCATTCAACCGATAGACAACCTCGACGATGTCTTTCTTGTAGGTTGTCTTCCAGATACGAGAAAGACAATGCAACTCCTCCGGTTGGTTCAAGGGATCCTCTCCTCTTGACATCAAAACAATGTCGCCTTCCGAGAGACCACGGTCTTTGGAAACCGCAGCAGGCACCGAAGCCGTGACCTCGACAAACTTGTCAACCGCCATACGACTCAAAACCTTGATCCCAAATTGCTTCGAGGTAGTTTCATCCTTGGCCGTCACGAACGACCGCCAGGCTTCATTGATGAGCAGGGGGAAAAACGTTTGCTTGTAGCTGACGGGATCGTTGTACGTGTTGGAGACTTCCGCACAGCGATACCCATTTGGAGGGTCATTCCCTTCATGAAAAATATCCCATTCAAGAATCGCAAGGTGAAGTGTGTCCATCGGGGGGATCAGACGAGCACGCATATCCTTGGCGGACCGCATGAGCTTGACCTTCTTCACAGGTCCGCGGTTCTTCGCCATCAAGAGCTCAAGACGACGTTGATCAGCCTCGCTCAAGGTCTTGTTCGCCTTCTTGGCCTTGAGAACAATCACCTCATCATCATCATCCGACTGGTCCTCATCCTCCGAAGACGACCCAACCATGATTTCGTCCTTCAACGCCGGGGCATGGTCTTTGCCCTTTGCACCAGCGATGCCTTGCAAACCAGAGCCTTCACCTGCCACAATCTTTGTCGGCGCACGCAAAGCTCTGGCCTTGGCAATAGCTTCGGCGTCACGCTTGGCCTTCTCGGCCTTCTCCCTAGCTCGTGCCTCCTTGAGAGAGGCCTGCTTTGCAGAAATAGCGGCTGGACTAAGCACTGTTGGCTGCTTGGGCTTGACAATCTCGGACTTCAGCTGCTCCAGCTTCGACTTGTTCTTGTCATACGTCGGTGTGAGGCTGAGCAGAGGATCTTTGTAGTCCTTGGAGGTCGCCTTGAAGAAGTCAAGCTTGCTCTGCTTGAGAGCGCGCTCTCTAGCCTCTTTCTCGCCGGGTTTGATGCCCATGAACTGCTCCTCGATCACGGCATCCTCTCCGAGAGCCTTGAGTAGTTCAATGCGCTGCTCGTCCGTCAGATTTGTCTTAGTAGGATACTCTGGCCTGGCGCCATGTGATCGCTTGGCGTCCTTGATCATCTTGCCCAGGTGTAACAAGGTGTTTGGAGGCAGTGCCATGTCCTGCTGCTTCATTCTGGTGATCAGCTGCTTGACGATCCTGATAATACCAGAGATAAGGTATTGATCACGGAGCTGAAGCATGTCCACCAGCGAGAAAGAATAGAACCGAGGCGGCTCGAGGACATCCTTCATGGCGTCTGAGGTCGGGATTCCAGTTTCACTGCTCTCTTGGTGGGTTAGAGCAGAGGCAAGAACACCATCTTGCTCAAACAGCTTGTTGGCGAGCTCCATGACATCTCGACAAAAGTCCTCCATTACCTTCTTCTCGACCATCTCGTGCCACTTCCTCATCATCCTAAACGAGTGATCGATGGCCCTCCAAACACTTCTCCACCAGCTCTTGACGACGGCCCGCTCATCGGCCGTCATGGTCTTGCGTCTCAACTGACCGGACGATGGATCGCAAAGGCCATTCAGTACGAACTCACTGCACTGGAGGATGGGGATCATGTGCGTCCAAGGCGCACCTTCACCCTTGTACGCCGAGATGGTTTCAACAGCATTGGTGATAGCTTGCACAAACGGCTGGAAATGCCTCTCCACCATCCTTTCAATGGCATCGCTACGAACCATTTCGTCAGTTATGGCCTTGATCAGCTCAAAGCCAGCTTCGCGAATCGCCTCTTCGCCATGGATGAGCGATGACACGATGGCTTGGATCGTCTTGCCATAATTGGAGCACAGGTTTGCTAGCTCTGACTGCGTAAAGTCGGTCATGCGGTTCAGGACTTTTCCAATAGCAGCTGTTTGTTGTTGATATCGATTGTTGAATACCTCGTGTTCCTTCTTGAGCTTATCCTTTCGCTTAGGGATGAACTTCTCGATGGCACGTAGCGGCAGGGTAGCTTGTAGCATAGCTTCTGCCAGTTCGAAATGGCCGAACTGAGAGGGCCAGAGCATCTCAAGAAAAGACTCCCACAGTTTCCCGGAATCCCTATTCATAATATTTTGGACTGGCCGGCGATCAACTAGGGCCTTCCATTCGATCTCCGTGGCTCGCGCATCAAGGGCCAAAGCTGAGTGAATAATGGCTATGCCGGCCTTGGAGAGACCGATGTTGTATGTGTCCCCAGGCCTCAGCTTTGCGGCCCCAATGATGACTTCACCATACTGGAGTACTTTGTTCAGCAGCTGATTGACCGTGATGAGGGATGTCTGTGTGTCGAATGGGTTCTCTGGGTCCAAGAAGCCCTTCAAGCATTCGTGGAGAGCAACCAAGCCCGAGAGAGTGCAAGTAGCATGTGCTGAGCGGTCGCACGACGGATCCTGCCGAAACGTGCTCAGGAGATGCTGCAAAACAGTGTCGCATGCATCTGAGCGCTGGATTTGCGGCAGTGAACGAATGAAGGCCATTAGCCAGCCAGCCAATACCGGTACCTTGTCGCCACTGTCACCTCCCGATTCCATCCTCTCGGGCAGAAGCGAATTGTTCAGGAGCGGACGAAAGCCTGGGCTCATGAAGATTTGCTCCACCAAGGTGCTGGGCGAAAGCTGAGCAAACGCAGCCCAAAACGCTTTGGGTGCCTTTTCCATGAGACCTCGGAGTCCTTGCAAGACCGACAACAGGGCCTCGTCTGAATCCGTCATCAAGTGCTCCAGGGCAAGAAAATAAATATTGGGCGAGACCTCCATTGCTCGAAGCCAGTTCACAATTTGTTTCTCGCCCAACAGCCGCAGTATCTTCGAAAAGCCCCGCCAGAATCTGGGTATCTTATCTGGAGTGTTGCCCCCTCTGCTCATCGAAACCCACAGGATTGACTCTGTCAACCAGGGAGATACGGCCCAATCCCACTCGTCCTGCTTCAAGCTTTCGGGTTCTCGCCGGTCCCAAGCGGCCTCGGCAAAGTCCCTCTTGTACTTTGACTCGGAGAAGAGAAAGGACGTCATCGATGGAAGCAAACCGCCAGGCAGTTTGGCGGGCTTCTTACGCTGGGTGTTCTCAAAAACATAGTCAAAGTCCTGGATGCGATCCTTGAACGCAAGATACTTCCAACTGCAGAGTGCCTCGAAGAGAGCCAAGACTGCCGAGATGCTGTGCTGGACCAACTTCGTTGTTGTCATCGGACCATTCCTTTCAAGTATATCTCTGGCTTCCTTCAGCCCACGGTCGATGCGTCCCCTGTCGAAATCGTCCAGGTGGGTTTCCATGACACGGATATGCTCAGGGCGCAGGCATCTACAGCACATTAGAACCAACCTTTGGGTACTCAAGTCCGCCTGATAACTACTTACTCGGGGAGGCGTTGCAGAAAGGGTTCCCGTGCTCGGTGCCAGCGTCGTATGCATGAGTCGCACCGTGTAAGGTATGTTTCAACACGCTCCTTCCAATTAGGAAGCCATGTGCTCGAGCGCTCTGGCGGGAGTCCCATCAGGAGGCTGAGGTTGTATGATATCTGGAGGCGATGCTTGTAGTCCTCGTTTCGCTTTTTCTTTTCCTCGACGGACACAGCGCCGCCACCAGACTCGTCGGGCTCATCGGGGAAGTCGAGGTTCTCATAGTCGGTGAGATCATCGTCGTTTAATTTCGGGCAGCACAGGTGAGCGTCGGGTGGGAAGTCTTCGAAATCATTGTGCCATTCGATGATGGTCTGTTCGAGATTGCCCTCCATGGCTGCGGTTGGCTCGACGAGCAACGTCGATGTATCGAACGCTGTACCGATGTGGTTTATTGAAGATTAGGTCAGGCCAGACCATCCATCGGCAACCTGGTGCTAATACTGTCAAGTTGTTGTGGGGGCATGCAGAGAAGAAAACCCCCGGAGAAAACCAGGGATATCCGGTCAGAGTCAAAGAGAGAAAGAACCAGCAGTGGAAGCCACGGTCAATCTCTCTAGAAATTTTCTGAGGGAAGCAAATCTGTGCAATGCCAGGTTCTTCACGTGATCCTGGGCAGGTAGCAAGCAAAATGCGCTGACCTGCCAAATATTTGCAGTGCGTGGGTGGATTTGATTGCAGCTTCTGGATTTCTGGGGCAGTCGCGAACTTTGAGAAGTTGATCCCACAGCAAGCGCGTCGTGCCGTCTGTGGAGCACTTTAAGTGGGGCAACAATTAGAACCCCTGCAAAAGCTTGAGGCTTGAGTGGGGTGGGTGACCTAGTGGGGTCCTTTGAACTGTCGTGCCTGTTAACATCACCAACATTTGGTTACTCCGTAGCACTTCATCACTTCATCAGATCGAGCACCTTGGGTTGACTGGATTGATGTATAAATGAATCATTGGCAAACTATACGCTATCTGGAAGTTTGGGCCCGTCGTTTCTATACTCCCTATAAACCGATATCATCGGCAACCTTTCGCAACTATGAGAAGCGTCAACATGGTTGAATCAAATGCTCTCTCGCCGTTTGCAAGCTCATGAAAACCACTGTGTTAATGGCAATGCCACAATCACCCCGGACTGCGATTTAAGCGTCATGATCCATGTCGTCCTTCTAAATCTCATCCTCATCCTCCATATCAACGTCCTGGTCCTCATTCTCTTCCTCGTCAGCATCCTCTCCGTCATCTTCTTCCACACGATCCATGCCTTCATCCACATTAGCATCCTCCTCCTCTTGATTGAAACCATCCTCACCCTCATCCTCCTCCTCATCATCATCATCCACATTGTCCTCGCCAATCTTCCCGTTTTCTTCGTCCTCCTCATCTTCATCCTCCTCCTCCTCCTCATTGGCCATCTCCTCTTTGCTGACCTTCCCCTCCTCATTGGCCTTCTCCTCCTCGTCAGCCATCTGCTCTGGGCCATGCTGCTCCTCATCTTCATCGTCTGTGCCTTCATCTTCAAATTCCTCTCCCTTGACAGCACCCGAATCTTCCGAATCCTCGTCCTGTTCTGCTTTCTTTCTCATCTTTCTCGGTTTCTTGGGCGCCGGTGGCTTAGCATCGTCTTTGCTTCGATCGAGCAAATGTTCAAGCGGGCAATCGGGGGCCCCAAGCCAGTCCTTGGTGCCGGGCTTGGTGTTCTTCCTGCATTTGAAGCAGGTCTGTCCATGACGAATAAATAACTGGTGTAGCCCGTATTTTAAATGGTCCGGCACCATAAAATCTCCGTGGCGAAAGACATTGTCAGGGTCAGCCTTGACTGGCGTCCAACCAAGCCAGCGACAAAACTTATGAACATGGGTATCGACAGCAAAGCACGGCATGCGCAGGCAAAAGAGTGAGACGCAGGCGGCTGTCTTGATGCCAATTCCAGGAAAGCTCACAAACTTTTCCATCGCTTGGTCTTTGGTCATGGCGTGCATGTAGTCGAGCGAAAGAAGATCGGGGGGAGCGCCATCCTTGTCAGTGTTTTCGGCAGTGCCAGCCTGCTTCATGCGCTCAAGGTTCTCCTCATACACTTTGTCCAGGATTAACTTGATGTGTTGAGCTTTCTTGGGGCCATTGCCAGAGATTCTGATCGAGTTCACCAGAGCTTGGGGCGATGAAACCCGCACCTTCTCCCAATCAATACTACCCGCACCGCTTCCCTCTGTACGAATCCCAAAGTCTTTCCCCAAATTTCTGATCGCTGCATCAGCCATGGCCATCAAAGTATTACCGCTGATGAGTGTGCGTAAAAGAGCGTCAAGGACACAAGGTACCTCACCGCAACCAGCAATTTCCAGAGAGGCTGTGGGGATTCTGTCCGGCTGTTTAACCTCCCCGTGCATCTCCGTCAGGATCCTGTGAACCTCTTCGCAGGCCTCGGGGGTGGGGACTCTTCTGTAGGGATATGGGCTGTAACCGGGCGTCAACCCATAAGGATTGTTTTGGCCACGCTTGACTTGGGTTCTGTAATCGGGATTCAGAATCTGTGAGGCATCCACCACAATCTTCCCCAGACTTTTGGTGACGAGGTTGTCCTTCAAGGTGGCCCCTTTGAAGATGATGAGCTTTCGAGTAGTCGCAACAATGCTGGTCTTTTCCTCAGCGACTTCCTCCTTTTTGGTAACAACAACGGTCTGCTCTGGGATCTTTTCCTCGTACTTGACCACTGTTTGGGCGGTGACAGCAGTACGGGAACGAGTAACCCGGCCAATGATCTCTTCTTGGTGTGTGACATGCAGGTTCTCGTCAACAGTCTCGGAGTCACCGACAACTGTTTCTGCCTTAGTGATCCTTGAGGCAGTTTCGACAGCTACTTCCTGCTTAACATCTACTTCCAGCTGACTGGATGTCTCTGATTTGCTGTCTTCTTTTGAAGGGGCTTTGGCTTTGGTGACACGATAGCCAATGCGTTTTTGTCTGGCTGCAGTCTTTGGAGCTGCTTTTCTGGGGGCAGCCCTTCTGCCAGTTGCTTTCCTTGGGGCAGCTCTTTCAGACGGAGATTTGGTTGAAGGCTGAGCACTCGCGGAAGGTGAGGTTGGTGGCGTCAAAACGATCTCGGGATCTGGGACGGCGGGGTGTTCGTCCGTCTGGAGTTGATCTGCCGGATTGTCTTCAGAAATGGGCTCGGGTTCACTGCCCACTGAAGTCTTCTCGGTCTCATCTAGGGCAACAGCTGAATTCTGCGTGACCAAACCCATACCATGGGGAAGAACCCAACCACCTTTGATCGGCTGAGCGGTCTTCTTGGTCCGACGTGTGCGTTTCGCGGGAGTCTTGGTAGCCAACGGTTCAGCCAACGTCGCTTCAAACTTGCGCTTGGAGGTGGCAATGTCTGGGGGGGTGATAGGCTCAGTCGATGAGGCAGCGGGAGAATGCGCTGGAGACTTTGCAGGCACTGAATTGCTAGGGGGGGCGAGTTGGTCAAGAAGTGAAACTCCCGCAATCACAGCATTGTCTTCAGCGCCGGTCGGAGTTTCTCCGGTCGTCTGGAGAATTGGAACAAGAGGGCCTTCGGCCGCTGCCGCAGCTTGGGCAGCTCGTCTTGCTGCCCCGCGAGTCCGCATGGTGATGATGATACGTGAGAGAATTGACAAGTTGTTGCGAAGACTAAGAGGAGAAGGTCAGCACGAGATCGAGGAGTTTTGCATAAAGTTTTCAACATGTATTGATAGGCTTTTGTGAGACTTGTGTTCGTCGAGATGCCTGGTCGGTCGGTTTGCCCGATAGAGCTTCGCTGTGCTCGATATTCCCACTCTGGGGTATGTGAGAAGTCTCTGAGGCAAGAGAAAGGGAGGAAGTTTTCACAACCCCTCCAGGAGTGAGAGAACTCAAGATGTATAGACCGATAAGAAACAGGTCCTGGAAATCCCAGAGCAAATCGGCCGCCCCACCTGCCGTGAGGTGGCTTGCCCGATAAAGCTTCGTTCTTTCCGTCCGAGACCAATTCACCAGCCAGATTACCGCCGAGACTAGCGGTATTACAGTGCGGCTGATACTGCAGAGTTTTCATTCAGGAGTGGCTAGGCAGGAGCGATAAGGTACAAAACATCGGACGGACCTGAGTTCTCGGCCAGTTGTTGGTAGAAGCTGGATCTCTATTGTGAATACAGGCAGGAGCGAGGGCTTCCACAAGATAACAAGATGGAAAGCCCTTCGAAGCACTGAGAATACCCGTCGAAAGCCATGGACGGAATTTGAGCCTGCTTGCCCGGTGGTGGGAGTATGGTATATAGAAGAGTACTGGTGGTTCAAATGTCTGGAGTAGGGGGCCAATGTGTTGCGTATGTTGGGCCTTGAAGCATGAATCCGGCGCAGGAAGATGTCATCTAAAGTCTGAATAGTCTTCCTATGACTTGAAAATGGTGTGTAATCAACTTTGTGGTGAATGATCCTTTACTCTCTCTAAAGCACACACCAACCCGAGCTGCTGAAGTCACGAGATGGAATGAGACATGCGAGTAGTATGGCAAACAACGGTAAATTGACTTGGTGAATCGATCATGTTATTATTCTACTCTTTGATGGGAGTCATAATTACTTAATACAACATCGTTTGAACCTGGACAAAATCTGTTAGTCAAATGGCCAACACATAGAAGTGGTACAAAGGTGTGATTTTGTATGTTGTTGTTCAGCGATGGATATTTTCTCCGCACAAACAGTCTCGGCAGTCAAGGTTTTGTCATATCGTAGAGTCATCAGGCAACAAGGAAAATGTCATAGAGAGGGTGACTTACTCAAAGATTATTTATATTGTCGCTGTGTGTGACATCGAGTTCCGTGAACTGGGTGAGGATGGGTGAGGATAGCAAAGAAAGTTGAAGCAATTTTCAAGCTCCAAAATTGCTGCAGGCTGCGAGGGATTATTTTTCTTGGGTGGAGCATGCGGAAAGCCGGGAACAGTTTCCCCGTGCACTCCACTCAAGCTGAAACAACCCTAACCCATTGGTCTTCCCAGTGACGTAACCAACTAAGTTCTGGATCTGTTGACAAACATCAGCCCCTGAATGCGACTATCTTCAAATTCCGCAGCGGCACAAGTTGTGGAACATGGTTTTCCATAGAGTAATGATACTGACCGGCTATCTGAGCTATCTATCTTCTTTCTGTGATACACCTTCTCTTTTTCGTGGCTGCCCTGAAGCGGGAAATTGCCCACCCCTTGCCGACGCTCGGACCATATCACGCTGCTCCGACAACCACTTCCACCACTTCGACACAGGTGGATGGCTCACCGGTTGTCCTTGTCTGAGACCCTCACTTTACCCTATAATGGAAATATCGACATCTTGTTGATAAAGAGCACAGCAGATGGCCATGATCTTTGATTGTCCCAATGAGTTTGATACAGTGGAGGTGGGGGACGCTGCCCATCTCATGGCGGCCGACCCCCTACCGAGCTCTTCCGCAACATCATGGGAATTATGACAGAACGTTCCGTCACAGTGGTGCTCTTACTAGTTCAAATAACCTTGAGCCAGTAGGGTTTCCTTCACGGAGCTATGAAGTTCACTATTCAAGCATCCAGGTCCAATTGGCTGAGAGACTCTCCCTATCACTGACCTCTCCAGCTCCAAGTGCCCTACGGACTCAGCAAGTGAGCCGACCCCTGTTGAGTACTCCGTCGTCGAACCAACCCAGATACAATTCTACGACTTTGCGACTCGAGCACTTCCTGCCTCACCACCCCTCAAAATCACTGACCACTCAGCTTCGCCCACCAAATCCTCATCTGCGTCCATTTCACCACCGCTCAGCACACTGCCCTGCCAGCAGCCTTGCCTTTTACAAGTCCTTATCTCTGGTAAGAAAGTTTCTGGCAGATTCGCTTCCTTATCACACAATCTGGAAGTCCAAGCTCCCGCTCTGGATCAGTATCTGTCGAGCAAGCAAATGTGTGAGTGGGCTAGCGGTTGCCCTTATCCTTCTTGCTCCTTCTTCCCATTCACTTCTTATTGTGCCGCGCCTTTCACTATCAAGTGAATAAGAGATAAGGGCCTTTTTCTTTGCAGTCAATAGGACCCAACAATTATTTATTGTTTGCTCTCCTCGACCGAAAGCACCGCTATATATTTGCCCTCCCCCCCCCCAAAACAAAAGACTTTTAACTAGCAGCCGATCTTCTCAATTCCTATTTTGAGCTTCCTTCTCTGACAACCAAAAGCAGCTATACGAGCAGATCAAGCATCAGAGCTCCCTTTTTGACTTGTAAGCTATCGTTTCAAGACTCCGCTTCATTTTCGGCAACCTCAACTGACCCAGCTGAACAGCCGTCATAGACCTTTAGCCGCTTAGAATACTCACTTGTCACAATTTTCAAGTTGTTGTTACTCACACAAAAAAATGGCCGAAATTTACAACCCGGGGTCGGTGTCACAGCCACTCGTGATTGATGACGACGATGGCTATGAGTCGTTGTCAGGTATCAAGCATGAGCTTGAGGAGGGTCATCTTCTTCTCGAAGAAAGATTCGACGTCGACGATGTTTTCGAAGTCGACGAGTACGGCAACGAGGTCAACCCTTTTGAGGAGTTGGACCAGGAGTACCGGGCCGAGGGCCGACTGGAGGGCGACTTGTACGAGGTAATCGACCTTACCGAAGATGCCGACGACAACTCGGCAACTTCACGGCCAAGGACGGCGACAGCCAGCGATGAGGACATTCTCCAATACTGGACACTGGACGACGGGCTTCTTCTTACGCCACACATGACGGTGGAGCTCCGACCTTCCGTGGACCAAGAGGCAATCGAGTTTCTCCGTATCCTCTCCATCGTGAAGATTACCGAGCCTGAACGAACTTTCGCCGTGCTCCGCGGCTGGGGCTTCCGCAGGAGCCGGAACTTCCAAGGCTGCCTCCCCAAGAAGCTGAACGAGGTTTGCTTGATCGCCAAGATGAAAACCTCAGACAAGCGGGGTTGGATGGAGCAAGCCCTCATCGACGTGGATCCCAGGCAGGTGATGATGCTCAGGGATCTCCGGATGACCAATGCCGACTTCCCAGATTACCGGTTCAACGCTAACGAATATCACCGGCTGGGCAAGGAGATGATCAAGGAGTCTGGGCCTCTCGTCTGCCGGTGGAGGAAAGAGGAGCACCGCCATCCGAGGACGAAAGCCGCCTGCGAGTTCGCCTTTGTCAGGCTAAGCGAGGATGAGGTTGATGACCGATACCGAGTGAAGGACGCACAGATGGTGAACAGGTGGAGAGGGGGCGTTGTCCCTGGTGGCTCACACATCCCCAACAGGGACAGCCCCGGTCTAGTTCTCGACCTCGAGGACGAAGGGTCAGAACAGGCCAGTGATCTCCAGCCCGGGCAGCGCTATACTGCCGCGGATATTTTCGCCGGTGCGGGTGGCGCCTCGCGGGGTATCGAGCGCTCCGGTTGCCGACTTCTGTTTTCTCTCGACCACTGGGAGCCCGCCGCGAGGTCCCTCCGTCGCAATTTCCCCGGCACGCATATCTACCAAAAAGAGGTAACCGACTTTGTGACCGAAGATCTCCCGCCCGAGCATTCCTACCCGGACATCCTCCACCTCTCCCCTCCGTGTCAGTTCTGGTCCCCGGCTCACACCGTCGCCGGGAAAGATGACGAGAAGAACATCGCTGTCCTCTTCAGCTGCACCGACCTCATCAAGAAGCTCCGGCCCAGGGTTTTCACGGTGGAGCAAACATTCGGTCTCGTCCACGATCGTTTCCGTCTGTATTTCCACACCTTCCTGCAAGGTTTCACCTCGCACGGGTACTCCCTCAGGTACAAAATCCTCCACCTGAACCAGTACGGCCTCGCCCAAACCCGTCGCCGGCTGGTCATCATCGGTGCTGGGCCAGGCGAGAAGCTTCCCCCGTTTCCTCCCCCTACCCACTCCAAAACACCCGAGGTCGACGGCCTGAAGCCTGTCGTGACCCCCTACCAAGCGTTGTTGGCGATCAAGCGTATCAAAAGCGGCCATCCGATGCACAATCTGGCCACCGTTCATCGGTTTGACCCGCCCAAGCGCCCTTGGGATCCGAGCAAGCCGGTCAACACGATCACCTGCTCTGGCGGCCAGAATTACCACTGGTTGGGGGAGAGGCAATTCACTGATCTGGAATATGCTGTGCTGCAGGGGTTTCCACGCTGGCATCAGTTTTCCGAAACCAATGTCAAGAAGCAGATCGGCAATGCTTTCGCGCCGTCGGTGGTGAGGGTGCTATACGAGCATCTCATCCGCTTTTTGAGGAAGCAGGACGGGGTGGCTGGGAGCAACTTACCTCCTTCGTCCTCGTCGGGTGACAGTTCCCCTATTGCAATCCCAGACTCGGACGAGGAGAGGGACGAGCTCCAGTTTCTGGGGCTGGGCGGCCTGGGCACAAAGGACCAGCCGATGAAGTTGGATGATGAGGAGGTGGAGTACCTGGGGGAGTCCGCGAGGGGGTGGTCAGCAACGATGACTGGACGGTGGGACGGAAGGAGGGAGGGGGTTGGCAGGCGGACGAGGTGTGAGGCCCGGAGGTATGAAGTTGATGCGGACGGGTGGCCGGAGTATAGGGAGGAGGACTTTATGGAGTTGGATGCGGGGACGATGCAGGACCCAGTGGTTATTGATTGGGAGACGTGATTGACTTTTGGCAGGAGAGTGGATTTGTCTGAGTGTTGTACATAGAGCCTATTCTTTCAACAAGCTGGCATGTTATTGGCGATCTTATGAAGCAAGGAGTTACGCGGGTAGGCTAGATGTTTGTCATGAGCGAGGAGTTGGGTGGGAGGAGGTTTCGAGGTTTGTGGTCTCTTAAGCTGTCATTGTATTTTATATCAGGCAAGCGAGCATCAAAGTACAGCATTTCCATTGGTACAGGCAGAGTCCGTAAACACAGTATGCACTCTATTCCTCTTGTATTGTACTACAAATCTCAGTTCGCTACGGTGACATGTTCAATCTTGGCCCAACTGCCACCCATCAACTTTTCCTACGCCCAAAGTATCAGCAGTATTACCTCTTTTCTCCAAACCAACCCCTGAACTAATGTTCAACAGATGAAGCATGCCTGTCCTCTGAATGTGAACACCCGCCAAAACTCCTGCCGCTTCCCAAACTGGCTACCCAAGAAACCCGAGACACCGCCAACACAAACTTCCCAAAGTTCAATATCCCAAACCAAGACACCAAAGACAAGAAGAAAGCAAATACAGCATATCTTAATCAAAGCTACCCCTGTTCAGAATTTGGCTCACTCCTCCTCGCTTACCTCACTCTCGTTACCTCTGTCGTTCTCATCCATCTCCCCAAAGGCTGCCTCAAGCTCCGCCTCCAAATCACCCTGCATCGGATCCACCTCGGCTTCCTCATCTTCATCTGACGAGCCCACATCAAAAGTGTACTTTTCAGGTTCCTCCACCGGCACTCTAGGCTGAGAATCGTAGCTCGAAACCGGAGCACTCGGAGCCGGCGCCACCTCCTCAAAATCATACTCCTCGTCCTCGTCTGACTCCTCGCGAAGTTGCTGAAAGTGCCGGAAGTCTTCCTCGTGATTATGCTCTTCCTCTTCTTCGTAGGCGCCCTTGCCAAACTCTGAAAAGCGTCTATTGAGAGACGCAGCAGGCTGGAAAGTCGTAGGCGGTGGGGGCTTGGCGTCGGGATATTCGATTGTGAGACCAAAATCATCATCGTCGTCGTCCTCATCATCCTCGTCATCATCGACTTTCTTCTTTGGTGGTGGTACTTCACGCTTCTTCTCAGGAACAGATGGCATGGGAAGAGATGGTGCGGCGGGCGGGGCGGCGTTGGGATCCGGTAGAAAGAGAGCTTCCGCCCCCTTCTTTTCCACTTTGCCCTTTCCTTTACCCTTGGCCTCTGGCGTATTCTTTGCTGCTGGTGTGTTTTTGGCCGCGGCGCCTCTGGCTGCCGGCTTGGCCTTGGCTGGAGGGTCCTCTTTGAGTTTGGATGCCGCCGCTTTCGAGGCTGCCGCCTTGCCCTTCGCTTGTGTTGGCGGCGGCTTGGAACCAGAGGCAGCAGATGAACCGCCATTCTTGATCTCCAGTTGGGGGAACTTCTCTCGTAATGTTTCCACATTATCCGTTGGCGTCCTTGTCAGATTCATGTGGAACATGGAATCGACGCGGTGCAGTATGAAGGCCTGGCGCGTGGGATCGAATATGAGGGTATAGTTGTTGTCTTCGGCGGTTCGTACGCCATTGTATTGATATCTGTCGCCCTTGTCGTCGAAGCCAATGTTGTAGGAACCGTCTTTGGCCGACTTCTTGAGATGGGCCGTGTTCGGAGCTGTGTCTGACGAGAGCGTTGGTCGGTGGTTATCTGCAAACGAGATATTGTTAGCACGATTGGTGGTAAACGCACGCTGCTGTTGTCGGGTGGCTGCCTTGCTGAACCAGACCAGCAGAGTAGGGGTCTTTTTTGGTTCCGCTTACACCGAATGCCTGTGTATGTTTCCTTGGATGGCTTCCCCAGCAGCTCAGGACTGAGGAGTACTGGGTATTTTCCCACCTTTGTGGGGTCGATAGCAGCCATGATTGGCAATTCTCGCGTTGGCAGAGACGCGGGCGGGGTCGTAGGCGAGGCAATGCAATGCTCGAGGGCGGACGGCGGATGGCGGACGGCGGGAGAGGACAGGATCTGAATTGAACAATGGTTGGGGGTTGGAAGAGGGAAGTTCCAGGCCGGCTTCCGTGATTACAGCATCCACAACAAAACGTCTAGTGGGCAGACCGAACAGCGAACAGCAGTTGGGGGCTCCCACGTGCCGTCAAGGGTACCGCTGACCGCTGCTATTTATTGCCCGGCTGGGGTGATGGGCTTGGGACGCCGCTAAGACTTAGCGACCGGCGACAACAGCGGGGAGCAGGGAGCAAGGGGCAGTGGCTTCAGTCTTCCCCAGATCGCTGGGATGTCTTGGCGCGTGGGATGATGCTCCGTGGGATTGTTTGGGATTGTTTGGGACCGTGAGAGAAGACAACCGCAACCAAGGCTGTCCAGGCTGAATATCTGCAGAATCTGGACGCCCGTTCCCTTTGACAGACGACGCGCCTCGCGTTGCGCCTTCTTTGTCTTTGTTAGCTCTCGCAAACGTTGAACAAGCGCTGAGACAAACAGGATTGGCTTATCGGGAAGCGGTTGAAAATGGGCCGAGGGGCTCGCTTGGCAGTGGGGCTGGCCGTTGTGACACCATTCCAGGTCCACCCTTCCACACTGCCAACCTCAATTCCAACTTCCATCGTTTGTTCGATGAGTTACACGCAACTTCCAAGACGATTCTAGCGACTTTACCAAACCGAGATCCCCGTTCTATTGGCCGTATCTATCGATATGTTTTATCAGTCTGCCATCTCAGCAAACATCTATCGACAGTCTTCAGCTTACCTACAAGCCATCTTGGGGAAACGGATTCAGGGTCCTCGGCGCACAAGGACACAAGCTTATCCCATGTGGATAATATGGTCTCGCAGTGCGGCTCTGCTGGACCAATTCCACGGAAGAGGCTTGTACAATGAGGCTGTGGTTCCCTCCAAGTGGTCAGACTGAAGCCCATTCTCGCCATTGTCATCCGGCACCGCAGCTGCAACTCAAAACAGGCCTCCGGGTACATCATCTAGATCGGCTACCGTTAAAGATAGACAAGCCTAGGACTGCTGTGTTCCTGGATCAGGCCCCAGTTCCAGGCTTTCTCATTCCCGCGCCGTTGAGATGGCTGTGAGTCAGTGAAGGTACAGCCTGCATCTTTTCACCATCTCCAACCTTGAAGTTTGCCAGGCATCCGACTTCTTGTTAGCGCAGAACTGACGCCATGTTGACCGGCCCATCTCCAGCCACAACGGTTTCCAGGGTCGAGTCAGGGTCCCAACTGCCTCATACTTCTGCAAGACAATCTGCTAGGCTGGGTCAGGGACTTCAACATCGGGGAAAGCGCGCCGGACTCTTCTTCGTCCAAGGCCATTGCCTCCGGTCCCCGTTTGTTAGCCAGTTCCATGTGAGCAAGCGCAGCAGAGCTAACGGCCAAGCTCTACCATCATGGGACGAAACGGGCCTCTTCAAGTCCATGACTTGATACTCGCTAATCTATCGAAGCTTCAAGTTTACAAGTCCTATCTCCCTCTCTTTAATGCCACATTGCCTCCGGACAAGTGCCCTCTTTCTTTCATGGCCTGTTGTTTTTCTATTACTGGACCCCTTCGATGGCATCCACCACCATACAAGGGCCGAGATGCGCTCGACAACCCGGGTCTAGCAGGACGACACCCATGGCAACGACGCGGACATGGCTGACAGCCAGTCTACTGTCGATCTCGCAGCTCACTGCAGCTTACACACTTGATTTGAGCTCAACGGGTGAGGCTCGGTGCACCACATCCTGACCACAGTCCCGGCATTGACTCTATGACACCCTGCAGACTCTCTCAAATCCGTCGCGAGCTCCATGACCGAAGACATGATGTCATTCTACTCAGGAGACAAACCAGGGGGCACCCCTGGTTTGCTCCCACAGCCATACTACTGTGGGTTGCTACCCAACCCACCAGAGAATCATCATGAAAGACCTCACACACACTAACCCAACCGGAGCTCAGGGTGGGAAGCAGGAGCCCTCATGGGCGCTCTTATTGACTACTGGTACTACACCGGCGACACCCGCTGGAACGCCCTCACCACCGAAGGCCTCCTCTTCCAAACCGGCCCCAATAACGACTACATGCCCCCCAACCAAACCGTCACCGAAGGAAACGACGACCAAGGCTTCTGGGGCATGGCCGTCATGACGGCCGCCGAGTACAACTTTGACAACCCACCCCCGGGCAAACCACAATGGCTCTCCCTCGCCCAAGCTGTCTTCAACACCCAGGCCGCTCGCTGGGACGCTGAGGACTGCGGCGGCGGCCTCCGGTGGCAGATCTTCACCTGGAACAACGGCTACGACTACAAGAACTCCATATCCCAAGCTTGCTTTTTCAACCTGGCTGCCCGGCTGGCCCTGTACACAGGGAACCAGTCCTACGCCGACTGGGCAGACAAAGCCTGGGACTGGATGGTGGCTACCAACCTCATCAATCCAGAGTACTACTACATCTACGACGGCACCCACATCAACAACTGCTCCGAAATAACCCCCTACCAGTGGACTTACAATGCTGGCGCGTTTTTGCTGGGTGCGGCGGCATTGTACAATTACACCACCGGCCCTGTCCAGTCCGTCTGGAGAGACCGTGTCGACGGCCTGTTGAACGGCACCTCTGTCTTCTTCACCGGCCCCAACAAGGACATCATGACCGAAGTCGCCTGCGAGCCCGTCGACCTCTGTGACCTCGACCAGCAGTCTTTCAAAGCTTACCTCTCCCGCTGGATGGCCGCCACGACTAAATGGGCGCCTTGGACATACGACAGGATCAAGCCGCTGCTGCAGTCTTCTGCCCAAGCTGCCGCGGGAACGTGTAAGGGAGGGGCGAATGGACGAATGTGCGGGCTGAAGTGGAATCAGGGGCCCAAGTGGGATGGGAGCACGGGGGTGGGGCAGCAGATGGCGGCCATGGAGGTGGTGTTGGGGAATATGATTGGGCAGAGGCATGGTCCGGTGACTGATCGAAAGGGGGGGACGAGTAAAGGGGATCCGGGGGCGGGGGGACAGGATATGGGACGGAATGATCCGTTGCAGCGGGCGGGTGCGTGGCCGCCGGTTAGTCAGGGGGGTAGGGCGGGGGCGTGGATACTGATGTTGCTGACTGTTTTGGGGGTTGTTGGCGGCTGTGTTTTTGTTTTGGTAGATGAAGGGGATGGGATGGAGGAGCAGATTGAGGGGGTCGGGGACGTGGTTACTGTTGCTGGCGGGATGGGGAGGAGGAGCGATGGGAATAAGTTGAGGAAGGAGAGTCCGAATATTTTGGGGGCGATGGTGGCGGCGGGGTCGTTGGAGAAGGAGAGGGGCGGGGCGGTGAATAGAAGCGATAGTGATAGAACGCTGAGGGGGGATGAGGATGGGATGGGGGTGGGTGAGGTGAAGAGGGGGGCGGAACACGTGGACAAGCCGGTGGGGGAGCCGCCTATTATCAAGGTGCCTCATCCGAGGAATAGGAAGCCGTTGAGGACGACGTTGTTGGCGAAGCAGCATCAGAGGCAGTGGTCGAAGTCGAGGCGGAATTATTGGGGAGATAATGATGGAAGTGGGGAAACGGTGGTGGGGGATCTCGTCAAAGACAAAAATGTTGATAACAATAACCGTGTTGAAGCCGTCAGTGCGCCACCGCCAAAGAAGAGAAGGCAATCAGATCCCGGGTCAGACAGCAATAAGGATAAGGTCACGCTTCCGAGAAAAGGGCCGTCGAGGAAGGGGGTTAGGTGGAACGATACGGTGGAGGGTAGCTTGCGTTTGGATGCTCAGCAGACGTATTCGGCGTATTGGGAGAGTGAGTGTTATTGACCTCCTGGGTTGGAGTGTGTGTACATACTTTGCATTGGTTGGAGATTTTCTTCTGGGACAGTCATTTTGGGATTCTGAGAGGCACAATTGGGATACAATCACAACATTGGAAGGGAGGGCATATTGTATATCATTTGGCACGGGGAAGTGCTGATGTGGTTTCGTATGTGTAGGGTTAGGTTGAACTTGATCAGTTGGCTTACCTCATCACACATTGTCATGTTGCACATGCAGGGTCGCTGCTGGTGAGGGGGCTTGATATGTCAGGAGTGGGCGAGAAAGGTGGTCGAGTGTATTGTATAGTAGTTCAAACATACTCCTTCCAACAGCCTCAGTTACCCTCGTCACAACAACCCTTGTGGTCAAGTGGCAAGGGTATCAGGGCTGCTCACGCCGCCGCCCACCGCCGGGCTCACCAAGAGCTCGATGGCGGATTCCTTGCAAAACCTTTCGTAGCTGGGTTTTCGGCGCCCGCCCCTTGAGGGCGGGTGAGCTTTTGTTTTTCAGGCCAGGCTTTTACAAGTTTGGGTCTGGGGTCTGGTTTCATGTTTTTGAACCTCAACTCCAATCAGCTCATAATACAGCTGCGACTTGCTCGGATTGTCGGAAAAACACGGAGGTAAGTGGTAGAAATTACTTCTTGTTGACGGTTGCCCTCAGCCACGAGCTGTTGCGATTTTGGAGTCGAAATAGGCACTCATGTAAAAGTCGAGGAAGAAAAACATTCTGCTCCGTTTCTCATTTCTACGACTGGCTAACATTTGGCCTGCTATGGCCGTGTGTCTGGCAGAATGCCAGTATGGGAGTGTTTGAAACTTCGGATTTTGGCCTAGAGAAAATATAAGTTTATGTGTCAATAAAGCATCCGTTTCGGAATGTCTAATCACGTTTCGGGACCGCAAGTCAAAAGACTGAGATGTGAGTTGGAAAGACGGAAAGCTCTGGTCACCGCTTCTTTAGACATGAGCCGGGTACTTTTTGAAGCATAGCCTGAGGAGAGATCTACTGTGAAAAAGGCAACAGCTGACTGGCGATGAAGTTCCACAAATCAACGTGATTGCCAAACACAAAGCAGATTCTCTTCGCACAATCACAATCACGATGTGTGGAATGTGTACCACCATCTCGACGGTCGACAGTGGCACAAGTACAACCGTTGATCAGTGCGCTTAAGTCCTTAAGGCCACCCTGTTTGAGGAGATGCTCGACCCACGCACGAGAAAAAGATAAATGAGGTGTCAAAATAGGGTGCTGACATGCGAAGTGAGTTACGTGCTGAAGTCTCAGTCACCACGATGGGAATATTCTCCGTGGCCAATGAGACTTATAGGAGAATGAAAGCGCCTCGATCGATCCGGGACCGGGAACTGGGGGGGCGGGCGGTGAAATTGGCACTTTCGGTTGTTGAAACAGGCTCTGTGGTGATGTTGTGGTTGTTGCGATTGCCCATGAGGTTGTTCGATGCTGTTCATTTCAATGTGACTATTCGCGACATAGAAACCTTCTGTCCAGTCGTTAAGGTCATCTGACCATCTGACAGCGGAGATCTGGTCTCGCAGCAGCGTTGCCTGCATGAAGCAGTGTAATATTCCTCGGTGCCTTGCTCGAAGGATCGATGAGCAGGGTCCCCTGAAATATCTTCTTGTGCTCCTGTTACCTCCTGCCGAGGATGTCGGGAGGCGCTTGCAGTTGATCCGTCCCCAAGTCGGTGACCCACGGGCATGATACACGAGGTTGGTCCGTGGTAGCGTTTAATATATGCTGATCTGGAATGCTGCAGGAGAAACAGAGATGCTAGATACAGTGGTCCATCGTCGGCTGCGCGGGTATCCGTAGGTTCGGCCGCCTGGTCCACCTGGCCTTCTTGTCGAGGGAAGAAGACCCGGTTAGGGCACGGTAATGGCTTTGGTTGGAGGATGAGCGAGAAACTCGAGATCGCATGCATAGGTTGCTCAAATCCGGTGGTACTGTCACCAATGCTGACAGCATGGGACGAAGAAGAGCTGGAGCAGCATTCACTTCCCAAGCGCTCACCAAACCTAGCACTTGGACCCTTGATCCGACACACAAACTCTTGGCCGAGAGCATTAACCGCTCTGAACCGAGCGGCTGAGTTTGGCTGATTCACTATGTTGTGGCAGCTACCCGCTTGTACGAGGCACTGGCGCCGTCCCGTCATTGTCTCCAGTTCCCAATCAGTTCACTGTGCTCTTGGTGACTTGAAAACCTTGACCGCTCCGCTCTTGCAGGTAGCCATGGAGTTGCTCTCGGTTTGCGATTGTCGGCAAGTTCCATAACTTGGCGTCTCCCCGGATTTCCCTGGGGCACGTCGGGACCGGTAGTCATCCGGCGATGCGGAGAGTGAGTAGGCTTCCTTCATCGGCTCGAGTCAATACTTTATCAGGGGGTCCGTCCAAAGATTGCCTCCTCCACAACATAACTGACAGGACAAAGATTTTGACTCCTTGGACGACTCCAACACTCGGTGTCGACGCGTGGCAACCTTTCGCCATCCACCCATACGCAATTCCGGTACGTTGGGGATAGTTTAGACCACTCAGCGGTCCCGTCGACGAGTCCTTGCAACTGACGAAGCGCTCAGGGACCAAAAATGCCAGATTATATTGGGTCACCTGGGGGTGACCATGCAGATTTCAACCAGTCTTCGAATGCCATCCAGGACAAACTCGGAGGCACCGGCAATATCGTTAACATCACCGCCGCCGAGATCGCCGTCATCGTTATCACAGTCACCCTGGTCTTGTTGGCTCTAGTTGGTGTCTTTTACTGTCGAATCTTGCAAGCTCGTCGGGATCTCGATATAGAAAACAAGGCGAAGGAGCGGGCTGCGGGCCCCGCGCTGGGCGATGCCATAGAACTGGTACACACCAAGAGAGCATCCGGGAGCTCTTGCGATACGGTATCGATCAAGAATAGAGACGAGATTGGCGAGCCCAGCTCGAGCAAGGGTAAAACGCCGGCCGCCATGGAATCGAACCAAGAACCAAAACTGCCTCTTCGACACTATATCCACTGGAAGAACCCAGATCCGAACGGACAAACTAAGCAACAAGAAGAAGGTAAGCAAAAGCTGCTAAACCAAGGCTTCGAGCAATCACTTACTCGGTGTTGCAGGTTCCTCTTCTTCACACCCTCCGTACTGACCCCAAGTCTGGAGCATCTCGCTCCTTTTGAGAAGACCTTGACGTAATGGGGTCTTGCAGAATTCCCGCCCCTGAGTAAGCTGGATATGGGCCGACGATATTCGAAGGGGCAAAAGTTGGTTGCCCAGTGGCTGTTGTTGGAGAGATGATGGAACGAAGGGGAGATTTTTTCGTCAAGCTTCGGGTACCATTCCCGCCATAGCGGGCAGTGTGTGCAGGAAGGTTAGATCATGGGGCATTTTGGTGAGCTGTTTTGAGGGGATTGTTTTGCGGCGTTCACGAGATACTAGACTGTAGAGGCTTCATGCCAGAAATTGTTAGCGCCTATTTCCACCAAGCTTCCAAGTTTTCTGAGTTGGATACGTACAACTGAAGCATCGGTCCAGAGGCCCCCAAAATGACGATAAGAGTCGATCAAAGAACGTAGGCGAGGTCGATAGGTTGGTCCTTGGTGTTGGGCGAGATGCCGAGCCGCAAACACGTCGAGTGGTCAGGTCACTGAGTAACGAAGAGCTTGGTAGGAGCAGCTTGAGGTACGTAAACATCATCAAGAAAAATGAACAGAGCAGGACATGGAGTGTGTGGGCATCGTTTGAATCCCCCAAAAGTGCAATCAATGCTCGCGACAAGCCAAGTGATCCTTCGCGGGCCGCACCGAGTGATCCCAGCTTAGCGTCTCGGCTGCTGACAACTCCCCCAACCCACAATCCGGGGGTCACTAACCCGATTTCACTGCCAACCCCAACCCAGTTGCATCTTCGCCCCGCTGTTATCGACATGAGATGCCCCGAGGACCGCACCAGTCAATGCTATTTCTGGTTATCAACTGTTTCCATTATCCTGCTGCGCAACTCGATGGATTCTCGGCATGGGGAATCATCGACCATCAACCGGCACTTGTTCCAATCTCCACCTCTTGCTGCCTGGTATCGCTGCAGTATCTCGTCTCGGGACAAGAGCAGGCGAACATGATCGCCGAGGGATACCTCAATCAAGTAAGCCGAAACCATGGAAAGGTGACTACTGAAACAACCCAACGTCCCCAGATATCCCCAATGCAGCCTCTAGAAACAATTCGCCAAGGCAAAATCCCCGCACCGGACCGGTCAACGAGAATGCAGCATGAAGAAGCAAAATGGTGGAGGCAGTCCTCACACAGATCCACACCGGTGAGGATCTATTGCAGAAGAGCATCCAGCAAAGGTCTCATAAGCTTAGAGACCGTCCAATGATAACCCATCGGCTAACACTTGGATACCGTAGACATGCACCTCAATCCATTTTTGCCATGCATTTCGCCATCTCAGTTGTTCGCAAGCACGGCAAAAGCTTTGATGGAACCCAACAATCAGTCCTCTCAAGTGCCACCTCCGAAAGGGCGACACGACAGCTGTCATGATGCCTCTCTGGTTGTAAAGGGCAGGTTTGAACGGTTCAGGAGCATATTCCCCGGCAGAATCCCTTCAAAGGCCTATCAAGTTCGATGCTCAGTTCCTCACGATCTCAGACTCCATGATATCTCGGAGAATCCTCTCCGAGAGATGTGCTCTTGAAGAACATAAACCCAATATAACCAAGGAGAAACTTCTCCGGAAACTCAACTTTGTAGGAGATAAGTCTCCGGAAACTGTGATCGAGTCGATGAATGACGATGGCCTCAGTAGGATGTACGAGGCATATTTCATGTCGTACGATCAGTTCTGCATTTTGATTCGTTGGCGGTCATCAACCAAGCCAGATGGAAAGGGTATGCAACTCGTTGTTGAGTTTCTGTGGTTGAGATCCTTGTGCACCCATCACGTTGTACTGACCAATCAGCAAGCGGCTGGTCGACATGATAGCACTGTGAGGCCATCCTGACAGTTTTTTTTGATACCAGACTGACGGCAAAATGAAGGTACGTTTACGACAAAGCGAGCATACCATGACTTGCACACGACAGCATCAACATCCCATCAAAATCCCATCAAAATCCCATCAATTTCCCATCATTCTCACCCAATGAACTTCTCACATGCACCAACGTGAGACTGTCGCCTACACATGTCGTCCCACAGTGCTCACCCAGCCCCAGCTCTCTGGCCGAGACACTTGCGCAAAAATTGCTTCAGCATTTCTTGCGCGCGCAAAAATTCAGAGTTTGGGAAGTTTCGATTTTCTGCGCGCAAGAGTTGAAATTTTGCGCGCAGATTTAGGAGAGACAGGTCCGCAAGAATTGTGGCTCTTGCCATGAATTCTACGATTGGAGAGAATACGCGAGTGCGAAAAAGACACAGACCAATAGCATCACCGCATCGCAACTGCTCCCTTGGCAGCCTGCACCCTGGGTGCATAAGTCACCGCTGTGAAATGAAGATGTGGGGCACTGCGCAAGAATTCATGTTTTTGCGCGCAGAAATTCGACATCTTTTTTTCTGAGGGAACGAGAGCGTCATTTCTATACAATCATGATTTTGGGCGTGACCCTCACCACCTCCGGACCACGCTTCTTCTGGGTCTGGTCCGGAGCGGCACCTCTTCGCCGCGAGAAGGGGGTCGCACCCCCTTACCGCCGTCTTCAGACTGCTGTCGTGAATCCCGATGTCACTGCTCCGCCGTTTTATATTCAAAAGGACCCCCCAAAAAAATACCTCTAACTGAGGATCCTTCAAATGAATCGACTCTGGCTTTGTCACCGCGGATAACACCACAAGCTTCCTGGCCTGCGCGATGGTGACAGTAGGAATGAGTATGAATGCATGTCGATCTTCCGGGCCACCGCGGGTGTCGTCGTCGAACATCCGGAGCGCTGTTCATCTTCACCAAACACATCGCGGGCAGCATCTGGAGCATCCATGCGCTGCTATGACCGCGTATATGAAACGTTGCGTCCCTGTCGTCTGTGCCTCCGGGGAATGAGATATATCGCGTCCGGATCTTCCCTCAGGTATCATCACCGCCCGCGTATATGGACTGTTGCTTCCGCAACTCTCTCCGGAAGCCAGTTGATGCCTCCTCGACGTCTTCGCCCCCGGGGACAAATATTGACCTCCGGATCCAACCTGATGCTGTCGAAAATGTGTAAGTGATTGAGATGGGTTGTCGGAGGCCATAGCGGTTTCCGGGCCAAGCTGTATTATATAGAATGGGGCCTGCCACCGCACTCAAGCATGAATACTTGCTTCCGTACCACACAGTTCAACCCGGGGAAGTTTGTGTCCTGTCCTTTGCGTGCCATCGCAGTCAATGCACGAAGTCGAGATATCACGCCGGAAAGAATTCCGTCCCACACTTTCCCACCCTCAACACCACCGCTAGGATAACCCCAAAGGGGGCATCCGCGGAGAAGCAGTTCCCCATTCCGTGCCTTCCTCTCACATACATCCCATCAACCTACTTTGTCAAGTCCATGTCGAAGTGTTGTATCTTTCCGAGCCAACTCACCCAACCCATCTCGCAAAAAGTTCCCAAGATTCCTAACCCATACATTCCCTCGACTTTACTGAACATCCCGCAGGATGTGATGCCTCTTCTCCGCGGGGCTACCTGGACCTGTCCAGAGCTGTATTTCCTCGGAATCTAGACTCTTTTTCCGCGGAAACGTCTCCTTCCGGGGAGATGCTACAGTCTCGTCTTATCTGCAGTTTGAACCCGGCGACAATGTTGCTGTTGCGGATGGGTGACTTGGTGCCCAAACTATACGGTACATATGCGAATATGTCACGATGCCTGACTGAAACCCCCCTCTCACCCATCTTCTCGCTTTCGTCATTCTCGTCATATCAAAGACCTTCGAAAACATCGCCGAGGTTGTCCACCGGCAGTTGGGTCTGAGAGGCCCAGCCCAACTCCTCCCTAAATCACAGTGTCGAAGCACCTAGACCGCAAATATTCGCGATCGGGGACTCTGTTGAACGCTGCCCGGAGGGCGCGCGGACTTTGGACCCTCCGGTTATCGACGCTCTTTCTTTGCTGCTGCCCCATGGTCACTTGCAAATCATCATTCAGCCCAACAATTGCACAGCCGTCTAGTCAGAGCCGCCTCCCCCCAGTCCACGATTGCCAGTCTTGGGTACGACAGATAGCCCGCCTCAGCTCGCGGTCATTAATCCATTCCCAGCATCAAAGACCACAAGACAGTTTCACAGACATCTCGGACAAGAAGCACACGACTTCCCCGGGAACACCAGACTAACACTCACAACCACCACCCAGACATCATTGATCAGCTGCAAAAAGCAAATATCAATTCGCGCCCGAACGCCTTCCGCGCGTGCTCGCGCTCCCTACCCCAAACGCCGGCGCTATACATGCGTATATCTACATGAGCAATCGAAATCTCAACCCGTAAAAACCGCCTGTCCACCGTCCCAGCTTCCCCAGTCCACCTCCGTTAAACCATTTCTGAATCATACAAACTCTCCCACTCTCAACGCTTCCCCTCGGGCGACTTTGGGCTTTTGGGCAAATACCGACTCTTGATCGCATGCCCGATGACGCTCATCCTGCTCCCGATGGTGCCGTCTTGCATTCGGCTCGCGAGGGCTTCTTCCAGGGCTGACTGGGTGACTGAAGCGTCTATTGCACACACACGCACGATTGGTACCGGCTGAAAGAAAGGGTAGGTAGGCATCATGTAAAAACTCACCATCAAGATCACTAAAACTGCTCCCCATGCTGGGAGTGCCCGTGCCGTCGCTGCCCTCACGGGAAACCCCCTTTCCTTTCTCTCTCAGCTCGGCCGTTCTGCTTCTCGGGGATAGTGTCCCATGAATGTGATCTTGACCGGCAACAGGGTATCTACCCCCACCGGCTGCCAGGGCAGTTCCAGGACGGTGAACGATAGCCGCTGAACTAGCTGATGAGTCGGATGTTTGGCTGAACTCGCCACCGCCGGTGACACCAACAGGGGCACCTCTCAGTGTAGCGCCCAAATCCATCTGTTGTTGATGTGGGGGCGGTAAGAACGCAGGCTCGGGTTCATCCTCGTCTTCTTCGGCAAGGCCGTCAAATCCAGCGCGGTGGTCGCCGTAAACGGAGAATCGGGGCGGACGTCGAATGATACGGCTCTGGACGGGGGAGTCGTCAGAGTCCGATTCCTCTTCGCTTTCTGAGGCAGCTGGGCTGGCGGAGACAGAAGGCTGGGCGGCGCCGAAGGTGGAGGTGTCATCTTGATCTGTTCCTTCGCGCTGTTGATACGAGAAAGAAGACATGTAACGACCTGTAGATCGGGTGGAGGTGACAGAAGGGGCTGGTCTGATGCCGAGCTGGGTCTGGGTTGGGATAGTAGTGCCGGCGGATGAGTTGCGCGAGACGGCAGGGCGGAGAGGGATGGTGGTGGGCTTGGCTGCAGAAGGGCCGGCTCCGACGGTGGTGGCATACTCTGCGTCCTGTCTTGGGAGAGGAGCAGACGGAGTATCTTTGCGATCATTGCGCATAGAAAGAGAAGAAGGAGCTCTGCCACTGGCCGAACCAGTGCGTCTCAGGGGCTCCGATATCTGAGGATAATGGGTGGTGTGGGAAGAAGGCTCGGCGCCGGGGATGGGTGAAGGAGCAGCAGAACCTCTACCTGTGGCTGCCTTGAGCATCTGAGCGCGGATTTGGCTTGCATGGCGATCTGTGAGGTAGTTTGCCATCTGAATAAGGAAATCGACGGTCACCTCGAATTGTGAAGCTCTATAAGCACACAGTGTTAGTACACACTGAGGTCGTCCATCGACAAGGCAACATGCGGCTCTTACAGCTCGTTCCCTGCCTAGATGTTAGTAACATGCTTCAGATCAAAAGACACAAGAATGAACTGGCTTACAGTTGATATTTCCACCCGAGCGTGAGTTATCGGAGATGATACTCCAAAGCGCGTTCGACTTCTCTTCGTTCCAGTCCATCTATGCCGGCGTCAGTGAGTGAGTTCACAAGGCGGGCACAGTGCGAGCGCGTGCAACGTACCAGCGGCGGATCGACGAAGTCGCCGCGCTTGATGGGCAAGCGAATGTAGAGCAGGTACTTGGGTTCCTGCGCCACGCTCGCCTGCCCCTTGGTTTCTTTGGGCTCTGGGGCCCGGCCCTCTCTCTGTCGTCGTTGCTCCTCCATTTCTTGGGAGCTCGGGGAGGAACTGTTCTGGTGACTGTTCCTCGTGGTCTTCCTCTTCAAAGATGGTTTGCAGCCGCGCAGGTCGCTGAGGTTGGCGGCGGGCCGGGACGTTTTCAGCAGGCTCCCAGGCGCTGCTAGCGCCCCCAGTGGGCAGCCTGGGGAAACGCAGCTGGGGGCCTACAGGCGCCTCGTCGTTGGAGTGATCGGATGACATTTTGGTGGACCGTGCGTGGTGTTGCTGTCGTTGTCGGGGCGCTAGTCCTATATCCAATGTTATTGTTGCTTGGGAAAATCGGCTACAGCAATATTCCAGCAGATATTTACCTGGCCGAAAAAGTTCAAGTGGGGCCTGCAAATGCTGTTGTTCCAAGCGGGTCTGCTCTTTGCTATTCTTCTAACCGGATATGCCCCATGTACACCACAAACAGTGGCCCAAGCTCCCCTGGGGCTCCATCCTGTAGTTGCTGGGTAGACAACTTTGGTGACTTTTGGGGGCCAGATCAAGAATTGGGGTCCTGCAAGTCACTGAAAAAATCGCGTCGCCTTTTCTCGCAGCTTCGGAGAACAGGCTACAAAGGCTCAACCGGCCATTTCGCTTTGTGGTCACAGCATATTCGATTCTCACAGCAGCTCTCTTCCTTTGATTCCATTGGCTCCTGCCCTCCCTGCAAAACTTACTCAGCTGTCTTGCTCTCCCTGCGTTCGCCTGAAACCATGGCCCCATTAATCCTACACAACGTGCCAGACGACGAGCTGTACGTAGGAGACGACGGTATCAAGAGACCATATGCCATGGTCTTTCCACAGTCCGTATTTCACAACCATCTGCCACCCCCCTCCGCCGCGACTGACATGGAGGAAAACAGGCAGGATGGCTCGCTGAGAGCGAGGAAGGCAGTCAACGAGACAGGGTCGTTTGGAAAGTCGACGCGACGGGCGAGGTCGAAAACCGCGACGCCTGCGAGAAAGGAAGATCCAACCATAGCCGCTGCCGATAAGATCTTTAGCAACTGGATCGCGAACCAAGCCCCCATCAGCCAGGCCCCCGCGCCATCACAAAGCGACAGAGCTGCGCAGAACCAACGGCGTCCAAGTCTTCACCCATCGACTTCTCAGCAGAATCTCTCCCAAAACGACGAGAAGGTACCCCCAGAAGCCAAATTCATCAAGGCCAAAGAGCCAACCGAGGTCATACTGCGAGGGTACCGCTCCGCCCAACAGCAATATGCCGCCATCAACCACTACGAGCAGCTCGCAGGGAGAATATGCGAGGACTATTCGCGTGACCCCCCGGTGGAGAGCAGGCGATACAAGTCCGAACTCCGGGACCCAGCATTCGCCCGCCGGAAGGCCCTCACCCCAGAAGAACGTGCCAAGGTTAATAAAGCCGACAGTGGGTTGCACTGGGTGAAGGTCACCTTCGAGTCCGCCGAGGCCGCCGAAGCAGCCATCTATGCCTCTCCCCAGATTATCCTAGGTCACCAGGTCTTTGCCGAGCCATACACCGGCCTCCCACCTCCGCGCGACGAAGCCGTTCCCGACCCATCCATAGCCGCCGGCTTCGGCATCCAGCGCACCAACTCCGGCAGACGCCAGTCACAACAACAGCCCCGAGCTGGCACCGCGGCCGCCGCAGGCTTCAACCCAGCCTGGCTCAACCCCGACAGCTTCGACTCTGGGTTCTCCCACACCTCTAGTCACACAGCAGACACCGGCACAGCCGCCTCTACCGACTTTGAGACACAGCCTCTCTCTCGAACCGTCACACCGCCCAACCCATTCGCCTTTGACAATATCGTCGCCGAGCAACCCCGGCAACAGGATAAAGATGCGGATGATTTCTGCCGGCTGATCCCCGAAGTGAGGAAGGTTAAGCTCCTTCCCATGGAACAAGCTCTCCTGCCCGCCCCGTCGGTCGCCCAGCGGGTAGCACACTACGTTCCCTTCATCAGCTGGTTCAACGGCGCCATGATCGGGACTCAGGTCCCACGAACCGAGCTTGGCGAGTTTGACTGGGTGGCTGCGAGTCTGTACTGGAAGTTTTTGTGGTGGTTGGATTTCTTGTTTGGGTTGTTTGGGGGTGATATCCGGAAGGCGGCAGACCAAGATGACTAAGGAGGGAGAACAAAGGAGACAAAGAAGGAGACAGAGATTTTTTTTGGCATGGATTAATGAGTTGATAGACTGAGCCCCTGTTGACACTTTTTTGCGGCGGAGTTGCATAAATAGGCAGGCGTTTAGGATTTGTTGTTGCAGGCAGTGGTTATTCGTAGTTTTAACTGTTTACACCTAGCGAGGGAAGGGGACAATTGTACAAAAATGAAATGGAGAGATTATGTGTCAAAAAACCAGTCTGGTAACAGTGTATTCGCTATGCTATTGTATGCAGTCAAAAAAAACAGCCTCATAGATACTTGTAAACAAACCCCCTATTCGTATCAACAACATCAAATAAGCGCCATGCAAAAAAAAAAAAAAAAAAAAAAAAAAAAACGTCTACACATATCGTCATGTTCTAAAAGGGGTATATCATGCCAATCCAATCTCTCTTTCTCTTTCTCTCGCTCATCCGCACACAGCATTCACACACCTTGATCACAACACTGGCACCTCAAGGCGAATTCCTTTCTGTGTCGGCCACACTCCAACTACTCTCCCCGCCCCCAACCCTCTCCTGGGGTTCGCCCAAACTCGTACTCACCAAACTCCTGTCCCTCAACAACAAGTTCCCCGTCTCGCTCGCCAAACTCGACGAGCTCCTCCTCTTCCTCAACCCCTCGTTCCTCCACGGATGCGCCTCTTCATCGTCGGTTTCCGTCTTGCCCTCGTCGTCATCCTTCTTCTCCATCCCCACCAGCCCCCCATCATGATCCACCTCCACACTCGTCCCCAACAACCTGTCCGGATTCATCCTCACATGCTGCGGCTGCGGACTAAAAGGTCTCACCCCCCTGCTCCGATTAAACTGCTGCCCTCCTTGCTGCGTCTCGGCAAAAACACTCCCTCCTTCCTCGTCCTTGTCCATGCCCCCCAACGAATCCAACCCCACCAAACCCGCCAAGCTCTGATACCTATCCCCCTGCTGTCCTTCCAGACCCCCTCCAGCAGAAATCAGCAAGCTGTCCCCCCTCACCCCCCTCACCGTCCCCCCTTCTCCCGAGCTATCATTCGCCAGTATTGACTTGGGAGGTAGTATACTGAACAGTTTACTCTCCCCCCCACCTCCCCCCCCTC